ATATATATATATATAGTTTTTTAAAGTAGTAATTTCCTAAAACTTCTGAGCATTGTAGCCAATAAACCCAGTATTTTAATTTCTTCTTTTAACTTGTATTTTGATGTTACAACGTCTGTCTCTCTGCTCCAATCCAAACTCCCTCTGTTTTAGCTAGCTTTAATTTCGCTCCAGACACTAGCTCATGCAAATGTAAATGATTGGTTAACACATCCATTTATTCAGCTTATTTTTTATAATGACAGTGACGTCAACAGCATTAAGCTACGGCTGCAAAGTTGCGAGCATTCCCTACACTTGTGTATTGTATGTATTTACAGCAGGATGATGTATGTGGCATTGAAATTACACTACACTGCTCACCTTTAGGCATAAGACATATCAGGCCTTGGCTACGCAGACACTAATTGTTGGTGGGCTCAATTAATTGTCGGTTTTGGGCTCTTCATGGGATTTGTTAGTTGCGTTCATAGTATGTCACTTTGTACAAACTGTGAGTTACCTTTGGGTAATTTCTCCACGTGTCTCTGGATCTCCACATCCACACTGAAGTGAATGTAGGTATCTTCCTTCCTGGTGGCCACGGGGGTGTCCTGCACTGGGTTCAAGTCTACACCGTTCATATCTGCAGGCAGAGAAAAACAGAACACGTGTTTTTTGCTGCTGTAACACACTGTTTTGGCGGACTGTCAGGGCTTTCAGATGACGCACTTTGGCAGCGTTTTCAAAGCATTTGAGTATCTTTTCTCTTTAGTGAGGCATTAGAGGAACCGCCACAGCACAGAGAAAAGGGCTGTGGCTGTAATCTGAGACCAGCAGCAGAGGTGGGATCGTTACCTTTGACACTAATGGTCATGTAGGGATCGATGCATTGACCGGCATCCTTCAGGCCAATTTTTTCAATCTTGATTGTAAGCAGTGACATCCCGGGCTCAGAGGGTAACCGTGGCAACAAGGTACCTGTAGAGGACAAAGGTTACAGACGTTAACAGTTACCATAACAATAGGTGGTGACATCACCTCGGACCAAAGATTAGCCAGCAGCAGACATCATTTTCAGTCGCATGTTTCTTTATCACCAGGTCTCCGTGTTATTTAACCATTTAAATATTAAAATTTAAAAGTTATATAGAGAAGTCCCACCCCACTCCGTGGTTAGCTTCTGTTATGGTATGTTTCAGTTCTTTCATTAGTATTAGTTTTAGAAAAGCTAAAACATGATAATGGGGTTTCTGATCATATATCAAAGGACCACTTACAACACAACTTATGACATAAAATCTCTAGCAGACACTTCCCCATTTACACATCCTGCAGACATGGAACAACATTCATTTGGAGTCATGTTTCTGCCCACCCGATATTCAATATTCACTCTTCTTTTTAAGCTCTGTTTTTGGTCTCCACCAACTCCAGAGGGAAATATTTGGCTCTTAAGCTGCTAAATGTTCCACTATGTTCACCAGCTAGTCACTAACTTCGTTTTTCTGCTGCTTGGCACTGGGCTGGTTGAATACGGTAGCTTTAAAGAGCTTTTGCAACTGGAAAAGTTGTAGGCTGTGAAACCAGGCGAGCTGAAAGACGCTAAAACCTGCAGTCAGGTGATAATTCTCTGTGGGTTTGTCGCTATAAGTAACACCTTTCACGTTATTCATTTGATAAAAGACAAAACAGATACTGATTAGAGCAGCTTTATGCCAAAATGGTATTTTCTACTGTGTAAAAAAGCTGTAAAATATGCATATTTGGGGCACTGCCGTCAGTGGAGTTGTTGTTGAATATTAACATAATAGTGAGTTTGAAGGTTCATTATTGACCTTGGACATCACAGTTTGAATGTAGGTATAACTGAGGAACAAATACAATCTAATCAATAATAGCTCTTATCAAGATTTTCTTCTGCCATAATAGTAGAGTAGGGAACAAAGTCTGAAGGTATCTGCAGTCAAAAAGAAGCATCTCATTCTAAAATTAACTCTGAATGATACACTTTTAGTCTCATTTTTGTCAATTCAGCAACAAGCTGTGTATTTCCACTGAGAAGAGAAAAAAAACCCACGTCTGTCATGCAGTAGAGAACAAATTCAGACGCTGTGTTGATAAAGCCATACCTTGCGAAGCTGCAAATGAAGCAGGCAGGAATGAGCGATGAAGCCATGCACAGCACCGACAGAGAGAACAAAAAAGACACACAGTCAAACAGACAATGTGACAACATGACACCACAAATCCAACACCCCAAACAGTGGGTGCGTTTGATTAACTGTTATCAACGGGTGCACAGTACCAGGGGCTCGTGGGGGGAAAGCTTCCGTAGAACCTGCTCCTGCTGCAGCATCCTCCTCCTCCTCCAGCTCCAGGTTCTCCTCCTCACCTGGAGCGAGGATTTTCCTGACAGAGAGAAATGGCAAGTTTGAGCACTTTATTATGCATTATGCAAGCAATATGCAAATCGCAAAGGGCTGTAATGTTCTGATAAAAAGGTAAAATGTGCATTATAATGAAGCACTGGAGTGCTGCAGAGGCACCCCGCTCTACAAATGTCATTCTCCAGATTTAAGAAAACATGTTTTTTTGGTAT